TTTCAGAATAAGTGTCATGTGGTGATGAGAAGAATGTATATTCTGTTGAATTTGGGTGGGAAGTTCTGTAGATATCTATCAGGTCCAGTTGATACGGAGCTGAGTTCAGGTCCAGAATATATTTGTTAAATTTCTGTCTTGATGATCTAATATTGTTAGTGGGGTGTTAAAGTCTCTCACTATTATTGTGTGGGAGTCTAAGTCTCTTTGCAGTTCTCTAAGCACTTGTTTTATGAATTTGGGTGCTTCTGTGTTGGGTGTGTATATATTTATGATAGCTCTTCTTGTTGATTGAACCTTTTACCATTATGTAATGCCCTTGTCTTTTTTTTAATCTTTGTTGGTTTAAAGTCTCTTTTGTCAGAATCTAGGGTTGCAACTCCTGCTTTTTTCTGTTTTCCATTTGCTTGGTAAATTTCCCTCCATCCCTTTGTTTAGAGCTTGTGTGTGTCACTTGAGGATAGCATACTGATGGGTCTTGGCTCTTCATCCAGCTTGCCATTCTTGGTCTTTTAATTGGGGCATTTAACCCATTTACATTTAACGTTAGTATTGTTATGTATGAATTTGATCCTGTCTTGATGATGCTAGCTGGTTATTTTGCAGGCTTGGTTTATGTGATTGCTTCATAGTGTCACTGGTCTGTGTACTTCAGTGTGTTTTTGTAGTGGCTGGTAACTATTTTTCCTTTCCATATTTAGTTCTTTTTTCAGGAGCTCTTGTAAGGCAGGACTGGTAGTAACAAATTCCCTCACCTTTCACTTGTCTGAAAAGGAACTTATTTCTCCTTTGTTTATAAAGCTTAGTTTGGTCAGATATGAAATTCTCAGTTGGAAATTCTTTTCTTTAAGAATATTGAATATTGGCCACCAGTCTCTTCTGGCTTGCAGGGTTTTTGCTGAGAGGTTTGCTGTTAGTCTGATGGATTTCCCTTTGTAGGTGACCTGGCCTTTGTCTCTGGCTGCCCTTAACAGCTTTTCTTTCATTTGGACCTTGGGGATCTGGTGGCCTTGGGGAATCTGATGGGAAGACACATCTGAGTATATGTCTTGAGGTTGATCTTTTTGTGGAGTATCTTACTGGGGTTCTCTGCATTTCCTGAATTTGAATATTGGCCTGTCCTGATAATCTGGGGAAGTTCTCCTATATGATATTCTGAAGTATGTTTTCCAACTTGGTTCCATTCTCCTTGTCTCTTTCAGATACCCCAATCAGTTGTAGGTTTGGTCTCTTTACATAATCCCGTATTTCTTGGAGGTTTTATTCATTCCTTTTTGTTCCTTTTTCTCTATTGTTGTCTGCCTGTCTTATTTTGGAAAGATAGTCTTCAAGCTCTGAGATTCTTTCCTCTGCTTGGTCTGTTCTGCTATTGATACTTGTGATTTTGTTGTGAAGTTCTCAAGTTGTGTTTTTCAGCTCCATCAGGTCTGTTATGTTCCTCTCTAAACTGACTGTTGTGGCTACCAGCTCCTGTATTGTTTTATCATGATTCTTAGCTTCTTTGCATTGGGTTAAAACATGCTCCTTTAGCTCAGTGTAGTTTATTATTACCCACCTTCTGAAGCCTATTTCTGTCAATTCAGCCATCTCAGCCTCAGACCAGTTCTGTGCTTTTGCTGGAGAGGCGTTGCGGTCATTTGGAGGAGAAGAGGCACTCTGGCTTTTTGAGTTTTCAGCATTTTTGTGTTGATTCTTTCTAATCTTTTTGGCCTTAATCTACCTTTGTTCTTTGAGGTTGCTGACCTTTAACTGAGGTTTTTGTGGAGTCTTTTTGTTGATGATGTTGTTTTCTGTTCATTTGTTTTTCTTTTAGTAGTCTGGCCACTTTACTGTATGTCGGGCTGCTGTGGTTTGCCGGGGGTCCTCTCCAGACCCCAGTTGCCTTGGTTTCTCCCATACCTGAAGGTATCAGCAGAGAAGGCCATGAAGCAGCAAAGATGGCAGGCAGGTCCTTCCTCTGGAAGCTCTGTCCCAGGGGGTAGGTACTTACCTGTTGTTGGCCTGCATGCACCTATAAGAGGTAGCTGGAGACCCCTGTTGGGAGATCTCCACAAGTCACAAGGAATGGGATCAGGGACTTGCCGAAAGAAGCAGTCTGGCTGCTGTTTGGTAGAGCGTATGTGCTGCATTAAAGGGGACACTACCTTTTCTGTACCGCCTGTATTCTCCAAAGCCGGCAGACTGGAGCAGCTGAGTTGACTGAACCCCAGACATGGCGGTCACCCCTCGCCCCCGGAGCTCGGTCCTAGTGAGATGCCAAAGCTCTGCCTTTAGAACCCTTAGCCAGTGTATTTCTATATGACATGAACACTTGAAATGTTAATGGGTAACAGTAGTGGGTGTTTATAGTAATATTCGTATTATCAAGATAATATTAATTTGTTTTATTCCGTTTGAAGATGTACTGTTTAGCGAGGCAGGGAAACATTTTAGAAGCAATTTGACTTAGATTTTTCCATTAAACACAGCTATCTTTCAACTATTTGAAAAACTCTTATATTACTGAAAAATTAAGGGTTTATGATAGCTAGGATTTCATTATTTTATTGAAAAATAATTTAGTTCAACTGCCATTCACATTTAAATTACTTAATTAGCATGAAGACTGGGATGTGAAGGAACTGATTTTCACAAATTGATATCAATAGCTATGAACTGGGTTACTGAAATACATGTGGAAAATAACAAATACTAAAAGAAATGGAAAAGTGTGATGAAAGTATTATATTTGTAAAAATTAATTTAAAAATAGACTGTAGAAGGAAATAATAGGAATTAATTGGTAAAAAAAAGAATATATATTATTCTGATAGATATGGAATGCAATTAAAATAGGTAACGTTCACATGAGCAATTCATAAATCTTTTATTTTTATGCTTCATGACTTGTTAAGGTCTTCCACAGAGATTATTGAGTCGCACTGTAAGATTGTAAAGCCAGAACCTCTTGGGAAAAAGTCTTTTTAGGGAAGAGTAGGGTCTTTCCTGGCATCTTAAAAAACACAGATGCATAATTAATTATATGAATGGGGCAGAAAACTTTTAGTACATCCAGTGAACAATGTTAGTGAGAGTAGACATAAACTAAAATATAATCATGTGCTAATGCAGATATCACTGCTGTAATCACTATAAAATATTTTATATATGTTATTTCTCAGGTTGGACTCTAGAAATTTAGTGTATGTTTCTGTTTGACTGTTGGGTACACATTTCTATCTCCCTCTCTATAATAACTGCCTGTATGTGACTTGTAGCTGATTAATTCCTATGTAATAGAGAAAAACTTGCACCTTTGGTTGGTGGGAAGTGGGATTTGGGGTGAGACTAGATTGAATAGCAGAGATGGTAGCTTTCCTTGTGTTAAATTGTACAAGGAGCCACACAGGGTTTCGGGAGAGCTGTGAGGAGTCTACTGTGACACTTTTGTAGCTCTGAGGAGAGTTCATAGCTAGCAGTCATACAGAACTTGCTGGCTCAGTGCCTTTTTTTTGGTCTTTTTTCCCCGTTTTTTGTTTGATTGGGTTTTTTGTTTGTTTGTTTGTTTTTGAACAGAGCGTCAGATGAGTGCCAAAAAAAGAATAAAGGAAGAGGGCTAAAACAGACTTTCTTCCCTGTTAGGGTCTTAATTCCTGGTAGGTGGGAGCTATATACCTGCTACAGCATATTGTTTTTAACTCACAAAGTTTCACTTATACGGATTTAAAAACTGTATAAATGATAACATCTTATAGTTTGTATATGTATACACACACATACTCTTTCTCTCTGTATATAATTCATTTTGTTCTAAGCCAAAATACAGTTTTTAAATTACCAGTTAATTTTTTTAATTTTTTTTCTTTAAGAGACAGGATCTTGCCCTGTTGCCTGGGTTGGAGTGTGGTGGCACGGTCATAGTTCACTGCATACTTGAACTCCTGGACTCAAGCAATGTTTCCACCTCAGCCTCCCCTAGTAACTGGGAATACAGGCATGTGCCACCATGCCCTCTGCTCATTACCAGTTAAATTTTAAGTAAAAATATTTTCTATGGTTATGATGTGTATTAAAATAAAATGAGTGAATACATAGCTTACCTTAACTCAGAATTAAATTGGCTATGCTACAAAGAGCCATTTTATCAAGTTCTAAGTATGTGTTAAGTGAATTTGATGATGGTGTGCATTCATTCATGACATACTTTTTGAATACTTTCAAAGTGGCAGCCACTTTTTAGGAGTTGGTATATATCCGGGTAAAACAAAGCACCTGTGTGCAGAGAGATTACATTCTAATGAGACATTTCAGTGAGAATGACCTAGAAGTATAAACACACTGGGGCCCGGACAAGTTTGTGTTTTGGAAATAGCCAGAAGGCCGGTGAAACTAGAATTAAGTGAATGAATGAACTAGGGGTAGAATGAAAGAAGTGAGATCAGAGAGCAAAGCAGAGGCCAGATCATTTAGGGCCTTAGAGACTAGGAAAGGAGTTTAGATGTTACTCCAGATGTCATGAGAAGTCATTATAGGGTTTTAAGCAAGAGAGTTGCCTGATCTGAGTTATTTACATATACATACACACACACACACACACATATCTGTGTGTATATATACATATATATATTTTTAAAATCACTCTGGCTAAGATGTGGAGAAGCATCAGTACAGGGGCAAAAATGGAAACAGGGACACAAGATGTTGCAGTAATTCAGATGAGAAGTAATGATAGCTTGGACCAGGGTACTGAAATGAAGGTAGTGAGACAAGGTCAGATTGAAAATAGTTTTTTAAAGGTAAATCTGATAGTATCAGCTGAAATAGGGTGTGAGAGAAGTCATGGATGATTGATTGCCTAGAATTTTTGCCTGAACAGCTTAGTGAATGGTGGCTTGCTGATTTGCTGAGGTGTATGAGTGTTGGTGTCAGTTTTATTTTAAATCTTTACCTCTTAAATAAGAAATGTATTAAGTATGTAAAATATTTTTTAAAAGTCATTATGAAAACTTCTTTTTCAATAGGCGGAGTACGTCCAGCTTGTTACTGAACTTCGAATGACAAGAGCCATTCAGCCTCAGATCAATGCCTTTTTACAGGGCTTTCATATGTTCATTCCACCCTCCCTCATACAGCTTTTTGATGAATATGAATTGGTAAGGAAAAACATCAGTTCTTATGTTGTAACATAACAACACAAAACTCTAGTGATGTAATTCAGAAATAATTGTGGAGTACTATAATGAATGAAATAATGTATAAATGAGAAAAAATGGTTTAATGTCCATTTTTAGAGATTTGATATAAAATTTATGGATGTGCCTTCTCTTAAGCTTAATAACCAGATAAGCAACTCCTTAATGTGAAGTGAGGTGAGGTGGTGACAAACTAAAATGGAATATATTGCTATTTCTTCTGTATGGGAGATGTTGAAGGCCAGTCTTCCTATATGTGTAGTATTCTACATTATTTCTGAATTTTTTATTTGATCACATGACATAAAGGGCGCTGACACTAACTTCTTAAACTTCTAAAGAGAATTAAGAAGGTTTTTCTTATTGTATAGTATTTTCTTCTCCAGTTTCTTATATTGCCATATATATAATTTTATAATTCTTTATTTGAAACCTATGGAGTCCATCGTCTTTGCTGTCCTGTAGTCCCTAATGAATGTTTTGTTTTGCTACTTTAATTTGCCTTTATTGTACTGTGATCCAACAGGATTTCTAATTTTATATGATTTATGTTGCATTTTTCTCCATTTTCTTTTTCTCTTTAGTTTTGGTAATTTGGAGAATTATTTTTAAACTCTTTGAGTTGTCTAAATCTAAATAAAGCACAGTATTTTAAATAGAATATAGCTGCTTTCTTATCTAAAAACATATAATTTGGAATAGTAAGTCCCAGATCAGTGGAAATATTTTATTTAGTTTTTATTCTGTCTCAGAAAATTAGTTTTATCTTATACCTTTCATTTTAGTATATGGATACAGATACTGATATATACCTTTAATTTTACATATGTATCAGTATTTTAAATTTATCATTCATAGTATATGTTAACAGTGAACAAAATTTGCTAATTAATTTTGAAGTCCATTGTGATTTAGTTTCATTAAATGTAAGTTTTGAGGTTTTTTTGATTGTTTTTTAGCTGTACAGTTAATGGCTTCAGTTAGCGTAGATTCATCTAGTTTTTATGTAACAGTAGAAGTTATTTTCAGCATTTAAAAATGGAGGACTATTTGAGCTATTATATTATTAGACCTGACTGAAATCTGACTTTTCCTGTACTGTGCTTGGATTAAATTAGCCTTTTGAAATTCAAAACAGAGAATTAATTGTTTGCTGGACCTTTATGTATGTAAAAAACAAATAGCAACAACAAAAATAATTGTTGAAAACTTTGCCTTATAATTTACTGAAATCAGTAAGTTTATAAAACTTTGAATTATAATATACATGCAGAAAAGGACACACATCATAAATGTATAGCTTGATAAGTTTTAACAAACTGAACATACCCATGAAACTAACACCCAGATGAAGAAACAGAAATCCTAGCACCCCCATATGTCACTCTGTCATCCCCCTCCGGTCATTCTCCCACTTTAACAGTAACCATTCTCTTGACTTCTGAAATCATAGATGAGATTTGCCTATTTTAGAACTATGTAGATAGAATTTATCTGGCTTTCTTAGCTCAACTTTTTGTGTGTGGGAATCATACATATTGTTGCATGCAGTTGGTAATTTGTTCATTTTTATTGCTGAATAGCATTTCAGTTTCCTTTAGTCTTTTCTATTCTTGATGAACATTTAGTGGGTACTTTTCAGTTTCAGGCTCTTTCAAGTACTGCTGCTACAAACATGCCTTTAGGAAAACCTAAGTATGCATTCTGTAGGTTATATGCCTTGGAGTGGAATTGCTGGGACACAGGCTGTGCATGTATCCCATTTCAGTAGATGTGAGCAGATAGTTTCCCAAGTGATGCATCAATTTACACTCCCATTAGTAGGTGTGAGAGTTCTGGGTGTTCTGCATTCTCACTAGCATTTGATAATTTTCCATCTTTTTCATTTCCTTACTGGTAATTCAGTAGTGGTCTTTCCTTGAGATTTTAATTTGTGTTTACGTGATAGCTAATGAAGTTACAAACCTTTAATGATTACAGCCATTTGTGTACTCTGTTTTCAAAGTGTCTATTTAAGTAATTTGTCCATTTTTCTGTTGTGTTTTCTGTTTTATTTTTTCTTTTTACTGACTTGTAGGACTCTTTATGTATTCTTTTATAAGAGTCTTTTGTCAGATATATGTATTATGAATATTTTCTACTCAGGTCTTTTCAGTGAATAAAAATTTTGGGGTTTAACATAATTCAGTTTATCAGTTTTTTTTTTTTTTTTTTTTAATGGAAGAAACTTTTTGTGTCTTGTTTAAGAAACTGTTTCTTTCTCCAAGGCTGTGAAGATATTTTTCTGTGTTTTCTTTTAAAAGCTTTATTCCTTTATCTTTCACATTTAGGTCTGTTACTGGTAAGTTTTTAATTGTGGCTCTTACATTAAAATTTAGATCAGGATTCCTAGTTTGTCTTGGACTCTGACTTTACTAAGTTGAGCTGATTCACATTTGGGAAGAGCAACATTGTAGGCATGGTCTTGATTTATGCAGTGATAATAATTATTATTAAGCGTTTAGTATTTGCCAAGTATTTTATATGTATTAATTTAAGAAACCCACAAAAGATCTCTTGAGGTGAGTATGATTGTCCCCATTTTACATATGAGAAAACTAGGCCAAAGAAGATACGGAAATTGTTCATGGTCATAGAGCATGTGTTAGTGGTAGGCTATGAACCCATGTTCCCTGACCTCAGATCTCATCAGTGTTGCCAGTCTGCTTCTTGGTGGCTTCACACCTTTTGTGTGACTTTGTGTCTTTCATAGGGGAGCGCTATGCTACACTGAGAACAGAAACTTGTAAAAAAATTTGGTGCAAACGTCTAAGCTAGATGTGCATCTGAGTTAAAAGATTCAGGTTAAATTCTAGAGTTTTAGTGAGGAGAAGGTATCGAATAGCTCCAATGTACTGAACTGGAGGTATAGTCATCCATTGTAGATAGAAGGCAGTTGTAAGTCAAGAGATGAGTATGGGCTGTTCTTCCATACTGTGCTGCTTGTGAATTTATCCATGAAAGAACCAGAATATAAAAACGTTGAGTCATGTGATGCTGGGTAAGCTGATGGCTATGAATACTTGCATGATTCAGTTTCTAACTATTAGTATGAGTTATATAACTTACAGTTCCAACAGATGAATTCAGTTATTTTGTTGTATTAAGAAGATTGATTGGGACTTAAAATTTTTATTATATGTACTTTTTATTCTGGAATTCTCATTTCATCTATTTGTTTTTGGTCAATTTAGTAACTTTTTTTGCCCAGTTGTTAGGTGGAATAATAAAGATCCTTTCGTTGTCGTCTTCAAAAAAAAAATGTAACAATGTGATATTTTTATTCATAATTATGAATAATGAAAGCATAATATTATTAAAAGCTTATCTTCAGCCTAGAAGGGAAAAGGATTAAACTCATGAACTGTAAGACATGCGTAAAGCCTATCCCACTCCCTTTTAGCAAACCTGTATCAGAGTCCTGCCAGGGAACAGAATTTCTCCAGATGGTTCAAATATTGAAACTCTAACAAAGGGACTATTACAGAGGTATGGGCAGTGTTAAGGATAAACAAGGTCTAGTGAGACATACACAGACTGGAAACAGGGAAAGCCTTTATCATCCCTAGGACTGAAGAGACAGGTAGAGGAATTACGGTGAAGAGCCCCGTGGGAGCCTGAACTACCAAGGAGGGCCCACCTGGTGGTAGCCATACTTGAGGAGCCATAGCTACTGCAAAGAGGTGCTGCAACAGTGGGGGAGCAGAGAGTACCCTCACCTCCAAACTAACTGCCTGTGTTTCCCGGGCTCCAAACCCAATCCAAAGCCAGCTGGCAAGAGAACCAGCAGGCAAAGCAGCCAGTCTACAGTGCAAAGGAAGCTAGAGAATGTATTTGGAGGTGGTCAATGTAGACTAACTAGACTGTCTTCATCTAGGAAGAGGATTCTATAATACTGTTACTAGGAGGACTAAAACACACCCTATACTAGCAGTTCTAAAACTTTTCGGTCTTAGGACCCCTTGCAACAAAAGAGTTTTTGTTTATGTGGGTTATGTCAATCTATATTTACTGTACTTGAAATTAAAACAGAAATGTAAAATATTTTATTCACATAAAATAATCCATTATTATGTTAACATAGAGAACATTCGAAAAACTAAAATTGCATTTTCTAGAACAAAACAGAAATAATGGGAAGACTGGTACTGTTTTACAGTTTTGCAAATTTCTTTAATGTCTAGCTTAATAGAAGACAAATGGGCCCTTATAACTGCTTTTGTGTATAATCTGTTTTGATATGTTGTTTGGTTGAAATATATGAAGAAAATCCAACCTCATACAGATAAGTTGGAAAAGGGAGAACCTCATGGACCCACAGAAAAATCTCGGAAACCCTCAAGAGTTCTCAGATGTTGCCTTATATCTATCTTATTTAAGGTACAAGGTCAGCTATATGTTATGAGTAGTTACTATAGGAGACGTGATTTTGAATCACACGGTATCTACATCCCTGTAATAAGAAATCCTGGCTGGGTGCAGTGGTTCACACCTGTAGTCCCAGCACTTTTGGGAGGCTGAGGTGGGCGGATCACAAGGTCAGGAGATTGAGACCATCCTGGCTAACATGGTGAAACCCCTTCTCTACTAAATATACAAAAAAATTAGCCGGGTGTGGTGGTGGGCACCTGTAGTCCCAGCTACTCGGGAGGCTGAGGCAGGAGAATGGCATGAACCCGGGAGGTGGAGCTAGCAGTGAACCGAGATCGCAGTGCCACTGCACTCCATCCTGGGCGACAGAGCAAGACTCCGTCTCAAAAAAAAAAGAAAAAAGGCAATCCTGATGGATGTTCTGGCTCATCAGTGTAAAGTGTAGGCCAATCATTGCCTCCCCTGTCTATGTAAGCATATCTAACTGTGAAATAGGGACTGATTCAGAGAAGTGGACAGGCTCTTTTCATGTCCTCTTTTCCTTGGAAAACAAAAAGGCAAATACTTTGCTGTTCTTAATTTCATTTTTACTTACATGATTGAGATTTTGTGTCTTTGATTATCTTCCTGTATGAAAGAAACTTATCAAGTCATTAGGAAAATTGCATTTTTTATTTTTTTTTGACTTTGGAGAAAATTGACTTTAAAGGATCCAAATTATTCCAGAATAGAATTCCTAAAAGGCCTAAATATTTTTTAAAAATCATAACTATTTTTATATTACCTCCTTTTTCCTCATGATAAGGATTTCTTGATGCTTTTCCCCTTGTTTAGTCAAGTATTTATTCAGGTCTTTGTTGTCACTTCCATGTTGAGAATACTGTCCCCTTACAGAAGTTAACAAATTTGCAAAGAATTGTAAAAATATAAAGTAAATCAAAGATAATGTTCATAAAACTTTTGCACGCATAAACTGTTGTTGCATATGTTCACACATAAACATATAAACTATAATCTCTTATGTTTTAATGAAGTTTTGTCAATGTGGAAACATCTCCACATCTTACAATACTTGAGATTATCAGCGTCAAGGATTTTATCTCATGTAATGCTTGTTATTGATGACATGCAGGAACTGTCACTAAAATGTATCAGTTTCATGTGAGATTAGTTTCTAATTAAGGCAAATTTACCATTTAAATGTAATAACTTTTTTCCCTAAAGAAAATTATTGAAATATTTTTCTTCTTCCCCCAAGGAGCTGCTGCTTTCTGGCATGCCAGAAATTGATGTGAGTGATTGGATAAAAAATACAGAATACACAAGTGGCTATGAAAGAGAAGATCCAGTTATTCAGGTAAAATTTCTCTAGAGCTTAGAATGAAGTTAAGTTTTGCCGTTTAATTTGGTAAGCTTTTCAGCACTATTGAATGAAAACTTACATTAATTAACAAAGTGAAGTGTTTCCCCAAATTATTCTTGTGGGAACAGTGCATATGAAAGCTTTGCATGAAATCATTTTTGGTAAATGACTTTCATAGAATAAAATGTGCTTTATGAATATTACATATTTCTCTGGTATTGAGAAGTCTGCAGTTGCTCTGAAATATGAGCTAAGTTTTTGTTGTTGTTGTTGTTAGTGGTTCTGGGAAGTTGTAGAAGACATTACTCAAGAGGAGAGAGTTCTTCTCTTGCAGTTTGTTACTGGCAGGTAAGCAGTATTTTTATGATAATATGGAAATAATTTAATGTATTCTGCTTTTAATGGCTTAGAGATAACTAAAATGAGGAGTTATTACTCTGAATTGTCAGTAACTTACCACCCTTTCCACTGTTTTAGATATTAAAGATTTATTTTGGTATTAAAGATAAGACATTTATAGTAGTGATCAATCATGTTTATTTGATATATTAAAAAGGATCGCCAATTAGGACTATTAGTATATTGCACTTTATAATTTGGAAATCTTTTTGCTCTGCAGGTCGGTCAAGGATAGTAGCCAAATGTTTAATATTTGTATATTGCTGGTTTGGTTTAATAGTAAGGCAGTTCAGTTTATCCTGGGTAACTCATACACATACTCTATGTTACCCATACACAACAGTTTTTCTGTAATTCAAAGTAAACTTTAAAGTGTCAAGATTCATGGCCTAAAAAATAATTTGTGGTACCACACTTCTATGAAAAGTTCACTTTTGAAACCAGTTAAATCTAATAGATATTAGAAAACTAGATGATTTAACCATCTTTTAGCTTATATTTCTGAAAGATGTAAAAAAAAGTCTGATTTTCATTTTGGATAACAGAATTTTATCTTCTATTTATGAAAATGTAGTTTAGTTTTTTTCATTATAAATGTACATATTTCTCCTAGGAAAGTTACAAAACAAAGTTAGAATAAGAAAAACCACAGTCCATCAGCCATAACCACTATAAACAATTTGATATATTTACTTCTTTGTTTTTTCTGCATATTTAAAAACCGTAATTGTGAATATATATCTATATAAAATATATATATGTAATTTTTTTTTTTTTTTGAGACAGAGTCTCACTCTGTCCCTCAGGCTGGAGTGCAGTGGCTTGATCTTGGCTCACTGCAACTTCCACCCCCTGGATTCAAGCGATTCTGCTGCCTCAGCCTCCCAAGTAGTTGGGAGTACAGGCGCCTGCCAACACGCACGGCTAATTTTTGTATTTTTTTATTTTTAGTAGAGATGAGGTTTCACCATCTTGGCCAGGCTGGTCTTAAACTCCTGACCTCATGATCCACCTATCTTGGCCTCTCAAAGTGCTGAGATTACAGGCGTGAGCCACCATGCCTGGCCTATAATATTTAAAATCTATATATTTTTTTATTTTAAAAGTAATGTTTAATCATTGTAGAAAATTTAGACAATGGAGAAAATAGGAGAAAATTAAAATCCTTAATGTTAAGTGATCCCACTATTCAGAGATAACTACAATTAACATTTTGCTTTTTTTTTTAGTCTTCTTAACTGTATAGTTAGAAAAATAGTTGGAGCCACACTATAGATCTAATTTTAAAGAATAAATGAATAGTCTGGGTACGGTACTTCTCTTGCAGTTTAGTTTGTTACTGGCAAGTAAGCAGTATTTTTATGATAATATGGAAATAATTTGATATATTCTGTTTTTATGGCTTAGAGATAACTAAAATGAGGAGTTATTACTCTGAATTGTCAGTAACTTACCACCCTTTCCACTGTTTTAGGTATTAAAGATTTATTTTGGTATTAAAGATAAGACATTTATAGTAGTGCCTGTAATCCTAGCACTTTGAGAGGCTGAGGCGGGCAGGTCACTTGAGCTCAGGCGTTTGAGACCAACCTAGGCTACATGGCGAAACCCTGTCTCTACAAAAATACAAAAATTAGCCAGGCATGGTGGCACATGCCTGTAGTCCCAGCTACTCAGGAGTCTGAGGTGGGAGGATCACTTGAGCCTGGGAGGTGGAGATTGCAGTGAGATGAGATTGCGCCACTGCACTCTAGCCAGGGTGACAGAGTGAGACCCTGTCTCAAAAAAAATAATAAAAAATAAATAAGAAATAAATAAGACATAACAATTAACAGGTTATAGACTAAAAATATAAAAGAAAAACTTGTTTTTTTGGTTTTGTTTTTTGCCTCTGAATGCCAAGAAGTACTCAGAGACTTGAATAACTTAAGGATGAAAAAATCATTATATTTTTTATGTAAGAAAGTTGACAATTTGACAATTCAGATAGGAGAAAAAAACCCACCTCCAATCTATTCCTAAAAATAATCACTGATAACATTTTTGTTATTCTTCTAGAATTTTTAACACATATATAATTTTTACTTTTAAAACCATTGTTATTTTATAACTTTTTGAATTTAGCAATATGTTACTAAATTGTTCAATTTATAGATCTATGTAATTTTTAGTGGCTTTCTAGTTTTCTTTTTAGGGACTTCCTTTAATTGATTCTTTATTGCTAAATTTTCCTATTTATGGAATAATGCTGTACAAATAAGGAATTTTTGTGCTTCTGTCCTAGTGGGACAGTCTGATTATAGAAGATAAATTCTTAGAAGGGAAATTTTTTTGTATGAGAATATATAAATTTTTATAATCTTGATACATATTCATTTATCTTCTAGAAGGGTATTGATGTCAGTAGAGAATGAGAGAGCTTACTTCTTTTATCAGCACAGGGTATAGTCATTTTTACTCTCTTTTCTTTTTTTTTTTTTTTTTAAAGACAGAGTCTGGCTCTGTCGCCCAGCCTGGAGTGCAGTGGCACAATCTCGGCTCACTGCAAGCTCCACCTCCTGGGTTCACACCATTCTCTTGCCTCAACCTCCTGAGTAGCTGGAACTACAGGTGCCTGCCACCACACCTGCTAATGTTTGTATTTTTAGTAGAGATAGGCTTTCACCTTGTTAGCCAGGATAGTCTCTCAATCTCCTGACCTCGTGGTCCACCCACCTCGGCCTCTCGAAGTGCTGGGATTACAGGTGTGAGCCACCGTGCCCGGCCCATTTTTACTTTCATATAATTTCTTTTATGTAATTTTTTTGTGTGTGGTATGAATTACCTGACTTTATTCTTTGTTATTCCACAATCACTTTAAAAATTCAGTTTTAAGTGTTGTTTATATATTAGGGGTATTAACTCTGCAAATAGTTTTCTTGGTTTATCAAAGTTAAATATACAGATTTCCATGTAATTTAAATTTAGAACTTGTAAGTTTTAAATTACCGTATTGCCAAGGTGATTATCGTTACTTTCCTTTGTGGTTTTATAAATCCTTCCCTACTTCTAAGATTTTATATATATGTTTATATAAATTTTTTAATGTAAGTTTTATAATTTCTGTTTTTACATTCCAATTTTTAAGCCATCTGAACCTTATTTTGGTTTATGTTGTCAAGTATATTTTTCTAAATGGTTTATACTTCAACACCATCTAGTGAATTATTATATTTTCCCCATGATTTGGTCAGTATGAGTCTTTAAGATGCAGAAATCAGTTATTCAAGTTTTTTAGTACTAAGTTGTCTCTTAGGTGGCTGCTCCTGTAGAGTAAAACACTAGAATTAGTAATATACAAGGCTTCTCCACTTTAAATAGTACAGTCATTGCTAGCAATGCTGAAAAGAGGTGTGCTATTCATTATTTAGTTATGAAGTGTGGCAGATCCACACTTGAATGGAGGTGAAAGATGTGGGTGAAGAGTAGAAGCCAAGGAAGCTGAGGGGAAACAACACGGAGCTAGCTTCACCCCTTGGACGGAAGAATCCACCTTTCAACATTGAGTCTAATTAGAGCTCTGTATTTTGAGTTCAAACTGAGAAAGTTTTAAGCTTTTTAAAATTTTAAATTTTACCTCGAACTCCCAGTCGTTAGTATAGATATAGTACTTGTCGTTCAAAACCAAAAGTGCAAATTTTTTCCTTTTTTAATTTTTGGAAAATTCTGATTCTGTATTAGTTTTATTTAGATACTGACGTATCTTTCTACAGGTCTGTAGTATAATTTAGTGCAACCTTACTGAAAGATCAAATGTGTTCCAATTGTTGAACCAAGAATTAATACAAAAAGTGATTTTTAAATATTTTTATAGTATTGACATTAATATTTCATAGCTCTATAAGGCCATCTTTAATGTTTTACTGTTTCATTATCCCTTAATCCCTTAAGAATCAGACTTGATGATTTCTTTTTTTTTTTTTTTTGAGAAAGAGTCTTGCTCTGTTTCTTAGGCTGGAGTGCTGTGGCACAATCTCAGCTCAGTGCCACCCCCGCCTCCCAGGTTCAAGTGATTCTCCTGTCTCAGCCCTCCCGAGTAGCTGGGATTATAGGCGCCTGCCACCACGCCTGGCTAGTTTTGTATTTTTAGTAGACATGGAGTTTCACCATGTTGGCCAGGCTGGTCTCGATCTCCAGACCTCAAGTGATCCACCTGCCTCGGCCTCCCAAAGTGCTGGGATTACAGCTGTGAGCCTCTGTGTCCGGCTGATTTCTTTTCTTTTTTTTTTTTCTTTCTTTCTTTCTTTTTTTTTTTTTTTTTTTTGAGATGAAGTCTTGCTCTATTGCCCAGGCTGGAGTGTAGTAGCTTGATCTCAGCTCACTGCAACTTCCACCTTCTGGGTTCAAGTGACTCTCCTTCCTTAGCCTCCAATTACAGGTGCACACACCACTTTGCCTGGCTAATTTTTGTATTTTTAGTAGTGACAGGGTTTCACCATGTAGGCCAGGCTGGTCTCTAACTACTGATCTCAAGTGATCCACCAGCCTCAACCTCCCAAAGTGGTGGGATTACAGGCGTGAGCCACCGCGCCCGGCCAATTACTTTTTAAATAAAATAGAAATATGCCATTTTTGTTTACTGTAATTTATACTGTATAATCTAAGTGTCATAATATTCAACCAAAGACTTTATTTTTCTCATACATACTTACGCCTGATGAATTATTATCTTAACATGATCAGATCTAATTATATAAGTAGGGGGCCAGCCATATTTATTCATAGTGTAGGAAAAGAGGAGTAAGGTGTCAGGAATGGCTCATGAATAATAGCTTGTAGAATAATTTTAATTAAGATGTTAAAACTAGAGGATCTTCTGAATTTTTAGCTTACTGTTCAAAATTTACTTGTGTGAAGGACATTAGATTGATCATACTTATATTGAAATACTGTGCTATAATTTGTATAAAAATCAATGTCAACATTTATTTTCTCATCTTGATAAAATAGTTACATTTAATTTGAAATTCTACAACACAGGATATTCAGAACGGCTTGATTTTTATCCCTTTTTATGTTTGGTCACCTTGTTAATTTTTGGGGCAAAAGTTAAATATATAAATTAACTAACGTTGAATTTTATTTCAACTTACAAAGAGATATAGCCAGATGTTCTTTATATATTCTCTTGCTATTAGTAGGAATTGTTTATGCATTAGTGTCTTATAAGCAAGATTCAGGCATACTTTTAATATTGCCTTAGTTTACTAAGGTAAGCTCAAGAATTTCATCAGTAAACCAAACCAGACGACTTCCCAGATAGAAGAGAAAATTGCTGTTTTTAGGGATTCTTTCATATTGGATTGTTAAACATTTTTTTCCCTGAGGATGTATACATATCATCAGTGATTTCAAATAGACAATCCTGGTACATTTTTTCAACTTTGTGTGTGTGTGTGTGTGTGTGAGTGTGTGTGTAAATGCATATCATAAAATCATTTAAACAATTTTTAAGTGTGCACTTTTGTGGCATTAAGTATTCACATTAATGTGTGACTATCACCACCGTCCATCTCCGGAATTTTTTCATCTTTCCCAATTGAAACTCTGTACTCATTAAACACTAACTCCCCATCCTCCTTCCCTACCCACCTCTAACAACCACCTATTTTATGTCTATGAATTTGACTACTCTAAGAACTTCATATAAGTGGAATCATACAATATTTGTCTTTTTGTGATTGCTTTATTTCACTTAGCATAAAGTCTTCAAGGTTCATCTATTTTGTAGCACGTGTTAAAATTTCCTTCATTTTTAAGGCTAAATAACCCCCTTGTATATATACACCACACTTTGCTTATCCAGCCATCTGTTGATGGAGACTCGGGTTGCTTCTACCATTTGGCTGTTGTGAATAATGCTGCTATGAACATGGATGCGCAGATACTTCTTTGAGTCCGTGCTTTCAGTTCTTTTGGATATATACCCAGAAGTGGAATTGCCTGATTGTATGGTAATTCTGTATTGTAATTCTGTTAGTTTTGTTGAGGAACCTACATGTTGTTTTCCACAGAGGCTGATCATTTTACATTCCCAGCAGCAATTTCTCCACATCCTTGCCAATACTTGTGACTTTCTGTATTTTGTTTTTTTGATGTTTTGCCGATAGTCATCTTAATGAGTGTGAAGTGGTTTTGATTGGCGTTGCCCTAGTAAATAGTGATGTTGAGCATCTTTTCATGTGCTTATTGGGCATTTGTTTATCTTTTTTTGGAGAAATGTCTATTTCAATTCTTTGCACATTTTTAATCAGGCTGTTTTGGGTTTTTTTGTTTTTTTTTGTTTGTTTTGTTTTTTTGCTATGGGAATTCTTTATATGTTCTCAATATCAATTTGGTGTCATATTCAATAAATCATTGCCAAATCCGGTGTTATGAAGCTTTTCCCTTATATTTTCTTCTAAGAGTTTTGTAGTATTAGCTCTTACATTGAGGTCTTCAATCCATTTTGAGTTAGTTTTTAAGTTACTTAGTGTAAAGTAAGGGTCCAACTTCATTTTCGTTGTAGTGAATATTCAGTTTTCCCAACACACTTTGTTGAAAAGACTCTTTTCCCCTTTGAATGTTGTTGGCACTCTAGTTGAAAATCATTTCATTATGTATGTGAGGGGTTATTTCTGGCCTCTATTCTCTTCTACTGGTTCATGTGTCTCTTTTCTTGGCAGTATCACACTATTTTGATTACCACAGCTTTGTAAGAAGTTTTGAAATCAGGATATGTGAGTCTGCCACCTTTGTTGTTTTTTTTCTAGACTGTTTAGGCTATTTGAGGTTCAACTTTTTTTTTAAGTGAACTAAACTGTGCTTTATTTTATAAATCATATTTTTAAGAAAGTATTTTAAATTTTATTCAGATGTTTGCAAGTATGTATTTAGTAATCTATACACTAAGTGTTCCTTTGTCATTATTCTTATTTATCCAAAAAGCACTATAGCACCTCATTTTAAAAGCAATAGAATGTTTTTTAGTGTCGGTTTAATCATGATACATACACAGGCTAACTTTAGAAGAAATATTAATTTTATTTTCGATGTATATATAACTTGAGAAGTTGTAATTACATCCTCTACAGTCATGTACCCAAGATTAAATTTTCTACTGATGTGTTATGCATTATATGTTAACCTTCCTGTGGTCTCTTGATGTTTGGTGATGTTTGAAAAATATGTTTGATATTCTGAATATCAAATCAAAGAGGAATATAAAGAATTTTTCAGTTTTTCCACTATGAAAAACAAAACAAAACACCTTTAGGGCCTAGATATTTTTCACAAACAAGGAAATCATTTGGATTACATGTCAGAGCATTTATTGCTTGAATTAATCAAATATTAATCTATTAACAATTTAATGAATGTCTACTCCAGGCATTTTGCTAGCCCCAGGGATATAGATGTAAATATGACTTGTTTGGGCTCTCAAATAAGCCCCACTTCAATAGAGAGCCACATGAAAGCAAATAATTGTAAATGTAGCATGCTAAATGCAATATTGAGGTATGTGCTGTGGCCAGTTGCAAGCATAGTGTAGCTATGGAAATGTGGAGGGGTGTCTCCATGGAAGGTTGCTAACTAATCACAAAGCAATTTACAGTAATGAGTTGGGGTTTTGTAGACTAAAAAATGTCATGTTGTCATTGTCCTAGAGTTGGATATATTTCTACCCTAACTTAGAACTTGAAATTTATCTGTCACAAATATCTTTCTTTCATGATTACAATGTATTAAGATATAAACTCTTAGTTCCAGGGTCCCACATGGTGGGTTTGCTAATATCATGGGTGGAAGTGGATTGCAAAACTTTACAATCGCTGCTGTGCCATATACTCCAAATCTTTTACCAACTTCAAGCACATGGTATGTTGAATTGGTTTATTTAAATGCTTTACAAATTGTTTTGATTAATTTTGAATGATCAGAGGTCTAACTGTTGCTGCATTGAGAGGAAAACCTCAGCTGTGGTCTCACTCCAGGATTTTGGAATCATTGATAACAAATTATGTAGTTTTTTGTGCCCCTGTTTTTGGGAGGGAAAATGTTTGAGGAAACCCTAATTCCCTACAATTTAATTGACTATAGTTCAAGTATCACCAAAGTTACACTATCATAAGTAGCACTGAGTTACACACCATCACTTCAAACTAAATTGCCCTATTGCTTATTTATTTTAAGCTGAAAAGAACTTATTTTCTTCCACTGCATTTGCATGCTGAGAGAAACTGCAATGCAGCAGATTTTTTCTTCTTTTTAAATACCACTTTAGGGTTTTTCAATTTGAATGCAAATTTGAGAGGATGGTTTTATGTTAATTTTGAGTAGTGTTTTCACTTCTAGACAAAACAATCAGAAATTTTATAGATTTCCTGTTTAATGGTGGTGTATTTTTCTTTTAAAGCATCAACATGCTCAAGTTACCTGAATACCCAAGTAAGGAAATACTCAAGGACAGACTTCTTGTGGCACTACATTGTGGCAGCTATGGTTACACAATGGCATAATGAAGTCTGGAAAACTCATCTGACTACTGATGCACAATTCAGAATGGCAGAAGTAATTTGGGAAAATGTCAACAAAAAAGCAGCCTAAATGCAACCCATAGGCAGGGCTGATGCTTCAAATTTATAAAAGATCATCAGGTTTTCTGTTTCTGTCTTTTCCCTTTTATGTTTTCTCTGTTTGTGATACAATTAGAAAATATAAAATCACAGTAGATTTTATTTTTTAAAATGCTAATTGAAAGTAGTAGAGACTGTCCTTTTTCGTAATTAATTTTATCCAAGATTGTATTAAGGCAAAATCTGATTCTACATTCCACCTCTGCTGTGTAACTGTCTTGTTAAAAGGAGGTTTTCTCCTAATTTCTGATACATTATATGAGGTCATCCAGCTGGTATGTTCTTTTGCATGTAAAGTACCATTTATATTTTAGAAAACTATTGTATAGAATGGATTAATTTAGATTGTCTATAAAGCCACAAATATGTATTTTCCCACAGTGTATTCTATATTACAATGATTTTTTTAGCATTTTAATATTTTAATATACATTGTAAAATTTAGACTAACAGTTGATGAAATGACATCTAGTTTATATATTAAAGCTTACACTATATTGTATGAATTATTTGCATCTTTCAGTGGCCAGTTTTCCATATGTACATATTATGTCTCAATGTTTTTCTTATGCCTCATTTTAATTTATAATGAAGGTAAAATTAAAATGTATTTTACTACATTTCTTTTCATTACTTTTATCTGTGAGCTTTGACACATCTGAAAAAGTAATCTGATGTGCAAATTATAATTTAAATAGTTAATTTTTTTACTTCTTAAATTTGCTTTTCGTCATTAAATTGTCAAGTTCAAGTGATATGTGCCTAATATCACTTGGGTGTTGGGTTTTTGAATTTTTGGGTAATCAGTTTTATTTTGAAAAGACAGACTTGAATAGTTACAGCATATGTTTGAACAGGAAGTAGGAACATGCATACACGAAGAAATGCTAACGGAAGGATTTGTAATGTTTAGGATCTTCCCTTGGAAACTAAAAATAGTATATTAATGACATTACTGTTTGTAGAATGACATATGCAAATTTTCTCATAAGCAGCCATTATGTTTGTCAGTAACGTTTGAGAGACATGTAAATTGAAAGTTTTGCTAAATTATGAAGCTCCTTTAATACATTGGTTTTGGTTCTCTTGTCTTTTCTAAATGTTAACAAAATATATCTTAACAGATTACATGAATTTAGGAATTATTTAAAAATTACCATTAGCTCTAAAATTAAGATTCAGATGCTTTATTTATAGTAACTGAAGCTAATAATGTTTTATGTTTTGATTTTTTGAAATTTAATTGTAGAAGTCACTGCCTTCTGAGTTTTCCAATAGATAACCACTTTTAATACTATATTGCTTATAATACTAATGTTTACAGATATGTTTCTGTTTATAACCATACAATACATTGGCTCTGTCATATTAGTTTTTTTGCAAGTAGTTATGTAAAAGAGATAGATAATAAAATATTAAATAACTGAGTGTGGTGGCTTATGTCTGTAATCTCAGCGTTTTGAGAGACTGAGGTGGGAGAATTGCTTAAACCCAGGAGTTCAAGACCAGCCTAGACAACATAAGAAGGCCCATCTCTATGAAAAATAAAAATAAGCTGCACATGGTGGCATGTGCCTGTGGTCGGAAGGCTAGGTGCGAGATAGCTTGAGCCCAGGAGGTCAAGGCTGTGATGGGCCCTGATTGTGTGACTGCACTCCAGCCTGTGAGACTTCGTCTCAAAAAAAAAAAAATATATATATATATGTGTATATATATACACACACATATATATAAGAGTATTTTAACCATGAATTTGAATAGTTTGAAATATAGATCTGGTTATTTCAGGATTTATTTTTTCACATTTTTGAGAGTGTAGTTTAATATAAAGAGATTTTACAAAGATTAAAAATACTATTTGGAGGTAGCATCTTTCTAATTTACTCCATTCTCACAATTTCTTCTATATATGTAGATGGATATGTTGAATGCAAGGTAGTATAGAAAAATGATTACATTTTTACCTTTGGGAAAACCAAGATTATATTAATAGGAAAATGACTCAATTCTTAAAACATGGTAGTTTCATATAAGGAAGAAAACAGAAATAAAACACTCAAAAAGAACATAATATAGGGAATGTACAGGAAACTGATTAATGAAAATATCTGGGCGGAGTAGATTAAGTTATCCAAATAGTTTGAGGGGATAGTTATTAACCACGTAGTTAATAAAATCCATTTTCGAGTTAACCCCAAAACAAAATGTAATAGAAGGAAATCCCAGCTTGGAAATAATCTGCTGAACACAGCCTCTACTGTTCAGGCGGTCTTCTGCGTATTGGGGAAACGCAAGCTTTAAAGGGTAGGTCACAAGTTGGAGGCCCAGTAGATGATTCCTACTCGCATGTTTTGTTTGTCATACTGTCTGTAAAATTTTGAATGAGTTATCAACATTTTACAAAACCTGAAGATTTCATGCAGAAGTCAGGAGTTTTGGGTCCTTTTGAGCAATGAGGCAATTTGACAATACTGGGTGCATGGGTGCGTATTCCTACAAAGCATTTTTAGTACTCTGGAATTGAGTAAATGCTGCTACTTTGAATAACTAAATGCCCTATCCAGCTTGCCATTTCCTCTTCTCTCTCCCTTCTATTTTCTCCCGTTTTGTTTGTTTGTTTGTTTTGTTGTTTTGTTTTACTCTGTTGCCCAGGCTGGAGTGCAATGACATGATTTTTGGCTCACTGCAACCTCCACCTCCTAGGTTCAAGTGATTCTCGCTCCTCAGCCTCCCAAGTAGCTGGGATTTTAGCCATGCACCATCACACCCGACTAATTTTTGTTTTTTAGTAAAGACGGGGTTTCAGCTTGTTGGTCCGGCTGGTCTTGAACCCCTAAGGACCTCAAGTGATCCGCCGCCTCAGCCTCCCAAAGTGCTGGGATTATGCCACCACGCCCGACCAGTTTGCCATTTTCTTAGCCCAGCATGCTTCACAACTCTCTGTTATCTTCCTGGCCATTGAAAGCATTGGAGTCTGCTTTAAAGAATCTATCTTTATCAGAAGTGTTCCCTTGGATTGTAAATTGCTACAGATTGTTTGGAAGACAATTTGGTAGCACCACCAGATTTTTTCAATGTACGCAGAGTCTTTGACACAGAAATTCTAAGAATTTATATCTTAGGGATCCACTTGTTCATGTATATAAGGATATTTGTCCAATAATACTGAAGCCTTGTTTATGATAGAGGAAAACAGAATAACTTCAGTGTCTATTGGTAGGGGGCTGACTAATAATGTGTCACAATCATAGAGTAGAATACTAATTAGTATGTTCAAAGAATGAAATGGATCAATACATACTGATATGTAAATGTTTCTAAGGTATGAGTGAAATAAAGTATATAGGAGAATGACGTGAAATAAAATATATATGGGATTATGGGCAACAAAAATTTCTCAGGAGGTGAATAAGAGGCTTGCTGTATCTGGGAATGAGTTGTATAGTGGGATGGACTTTTCCCACTTCATAACTTTTTTCGCCTGTTTTCTAAATCATATACCTGTGTTATTTTCTGTATTTTATATATATATATATAAGCATTCACTATCTTTAATCCAGAAAAGAAGTATCATTAATAGGTTTTTTGAATCTATAAAGTGCCATAAACAGTATTTTATGTAGTGATAAACAGTATTTTCATAATCACAAAACTTACAATTTTGTTTAATGTGTTTAAAACAAGTTTAAAACTCTTTGTAAACAGTTAAAAAAAAAAAAAAAAGGAATGCTCTCTTGCCCACAAAGTTGTTTCCACATTGCCTGATAATTAGCACTGTTTTTAGCTCTCTATAATTCTACCAATTAGAGATTTATGATTTCTCTCCCTTAACTTTTTTAAATAACAAAAGGGGTACTTAATACGGGAACATCTGCAAAGCGCAGATTAGTGTACTAACTGGTAAAAAGCAATAAATTATAATTCTACTACCCAACAATTGTGTTATTTTTCTTCTATAGCAATTCATTTTTTACACAGTTGAGTTCATAAAGAATATACCACTTAGTATCTTCTTTATTAGCATTTTGTTTTCAACATTTTTCATGTCATTAAAACTTTTTTAATTAAAAAAATGCTTTATCTAGAGATGGAGGTCTCTCTATATGTTGCCCAGACTGGACTCGAACTCCTGGGCTCAAGCGATCCTCCCACGTCAGCCTTCCTAGTGGTTGGGACTGCAGCTGCATGCTACTGTGCCTGGCTTGTTTGTAAACATTTTGTGGAATGGTGGCATAATGTTCTGTTGTATGGATGCATTGTAATTTACTTGACCATGTCTCTAAAATTAACATTTAGATTTCTAATATTGTTGCTTTTATAAATAACAGGTAGCCTCTCTAAAAACTGCTTATAGTCTAGGAGGGATAATATTGTCTGGGTTATTTGTTGAAATGTCCATCAATTGCTCTGTGGTCATAGAATTACTACTTGAAGGCTCAAGAAAGGGATGTTGGAAGGAGGGACCCTTTGGTAGTGGGACAGCAGCACAGTTAGGGCTAAATGCCCTACCAGAGTGTAAGAAGTTATTAAGGGAGCCAAAGCTGTGTGATGAACGTAAATTATTTTAATCATTGCCTACCTCCAGTCTCCTACCCAAGAACAGGGGAGGAAACTCATCTTCTTTATGACACAAGCCCCATTCACAGGACTCAGCACTTGAGCCCTTGCTATTATAATATATTGTATAGTTCAGCGATGTCAAGGATCATTTATGCTCTTGTGAGCTGAACTAGGAACTTAGCTTCACTTATAATGTTTCCAAAACTTAGACTTACAAGCTTTTGGGGTGCAACCCTTTTGTCAATTGGAGAGTGTGTAATAACTTTCTTTATGAATAGGCGCTTAGCTAATAATGAAAATACGAGGCCAGGTGCAGTGGCTCACGCCTGTAATCCTGGCATTTTGGGAGACCAAAGGAGGAGGATTGCTGAAGGCCAGGAGTTCGAGACCAGCTTGGGCAACATAGACCCCCGTCTATAAAAAATATAGATAAAAATTTGGTTATTTTTACCACAATGTAAGGTACATCAGTGTGTATCAGTAGTCAAGATTTTTTCATGTGAAACATGTTTCTCTGTTCTCCTGCACTTCCACAGTTCTTAGGCAACAAAATTCACTTTTAAGGTTAACAATAGCAACAGAAATTCCAATGTTATGATTTGTTTTAAGCTATTTTAATGTGAGCAGATTTCTGTTAGAATGTCCTTGGTAAAAGTCTTAGGTACTGAGTTTTTGTAACCTGCTTACTGGTCTGGTGTAAATTGGCACATTCTTATTTCTTCAATTTATAATTAGTCCCTTCATTTTACAGGTGAGAAAATTGGAGACCCGGAGAGGTGGTGACTTGTGCAAGGTTTCCGGGATACTTGTTAACCAAATGAAAATTTAAAACTTAGACTTTCTGATTCTTAGTCCAGTAGGGTTTCTGTTATTCCATGCTGTCTTTTAATGACATAACTGCATTATAAAAAGACTTTTAGAGAAACACCTGCAGCCTATTAATAGTCATGTATGACAAGCTGTTGAGAAAACTATAACTTAATAAGCTGATACTTAAGAGTGATTAATAGGACTGTATTTCTTCTCTCTCACTGTGCCACAACAAGCTAGGGTGGGTATTTTATCATCGCAAAATGAGAAAGAACAGATGTATTGTCAGATCATAGATCATGGGTAGTCATTAACTTTTATTATCTTTATAAAAATTCAATTTCAAGCATACTTGGTGCTTCAAAATATATTGTGCATCTAATGTTGCAAAACCATTAAACTATAAACTGAGAATCTAATGACTGTTACTATATGTAGTACTTGTGCGAGTGAATCGAGTCTGTTTGACTGAAACGGAGGAAAGTGGTCCTGAGTGGTTGCTGGATATATAGTTAGTGCAGAAAACTTTTCAAATCAACAAATTCCATTTAGTGCCTCGCATGTCCTTAACCCTGGTTTAGGGACTGTGACCCAGTCTCTACCCTTAAAGGAAATAAAATTCACTTGGGTAGGTGAAAAGTGTATTTGAAACAGTTTTAAAAACTGTGCAGCATAGCACATGTTTAGGTGTTTAAAATCCAGCTACAGAAACATTGGTGCAGGGGAAGAACGGCTTGATGTAAACTGTGTCCAATGCAGCTTCAGATATCTGGCTTAAATGAATTACTCCATTATTCTTTAGAGAGAAATAAGTTGATCAGCCTGTTGATTGAGCAAATAACTGAAAAGGATAAAAAATGATAACGATAGTAAAATAAGGCTAATGCGTGGCAGTCATTCATAAAATTGTTCTCAAATTTTTTATTGGTGAATTATTAGCTTGCTCACTTCTAGCTTCTGGTCATTCCTTGAGAATTCGATATCCTAGTGGTTTTCATGATTTGGAGACTCTTATGTGTTCATATTAGCAATCATATTTGGAGATGGCTCTACATTTT